GCTGGTGCATTCGTTAAACCAAATGACATTACCAAAAATTCGAAATGCCCATATCGAGTCCTAAAAGCTGTTTTTGGAATATCAACTTCCTTAACCTTCAACTGATGGTATCCCGATCTGAGGTCAATCTTGGAATAACACTGGGCACCCTGAAGTTGATCAAATAAATCATCTATTCTGGGAAGAGGGTACTTGTTCTTGATGGTGACTTTATTCAACCGACGATAGTCAATGCACATACGCAAAGACCCATCCTTCTTTCGGACAAACAAGACCGGTGCGCCCCAAGGTGAGACACTTGGCCTTATAAATCCCTTATCTAGAAGATCTTTCAACTAGACTTTTAGCTCTTTCAACTCTGTTGGAGCTATTCTGTAAGGCGGAATAAATATCGGCTTAGTGCCTGGAAGTAGATCAATTCCAAAGTCAATCTCTCTATCCGGAGGGATTCTAGGGAGATCTTCGGGAAACACTTCTGGAAACTCATTCGCAATAGGTGCCGACTGGAGAGTGGGGATCTGAGCATCTGCATCCTTAACTCGAACCAGGTGATAGATATATCCATTGGAGATCATCTTTCTGGCTTTAAGGTAGGAAATAAATCTACCCCTAGGTGTTACTGCATCACCCTTCCATTCTAAGACTGGTTCACCGGGAAATTCAAAACTTACTATTTTGGTTCTACAACCCACTTTGGCATAACATGACTCTAACCAATCCATGCCCATGATCACATTGAAGTCTAACATCTCCACTTCTACTAAGTCTGCTACAGTAAGACGATGACGCACTTTAACTGGACATCCCCTATAGATACACCTTGCTATAACTGATTCTCCAACTGGAGTGGACACTTCAAAGGGTTCACACAACTTTTCTGGCTCTACCCCAAATTTCTTTGCAATATATGGGGTTACATAAGATAGGGTGGATCCCGGATCTATAAGAGCATAGACATCAAAAGTGAATATTGTTAGCATACCTGTGACAACATCTCCACGAGCCTCTGTATCCTGACGGTCTGCCAGTGCATACAAGCGATTTCGTCCACTGCCTGCATTATTAGACTTTGCTGCGCCGCGCCCTTGCTGAGCCTGAGAGTTATGATGGGTTGTTGAATTAGTGGACTGAGCTACATTGCCTCCATTGTACTGCTTTGCCGATGGACAATCCCTCAAGAAGTGGCCCTGCTGACCGCACCCAAAGCAACCATTTGTGCCCAAACGACACAACCCTGGGTGCCTCTTACCACACGTGTTGCAAATAGGGTGACCAGGGACTCTGTAGCCCACACTAGCCTGTGACTGTGAGTCTGCTGTTCTGAAATTCTGGTTTTTCTTGTTAAACTTTGACCTCTGAACTGGTGCACTAGCTGAAGATGGAGCGGGTCCTGATTTTGATTTCCTGAAGAACTGGCGATTGCCTCCTGCTTGAGATCCCCCATGGCTGAAATTTCCTGCAGACTTAGCTCTCTTGCTAAATTCCCTCTCCTTCTCTCTCCGTAGCTGCTCTTCTTCCTTCAACCTATCTTCATTCCCTTGAACAAAGGCAACCATCTTAGTGATGGTCATGTCATTATTCTGAGCAGCTATATTAGCATCAGCAAACAAATCATCTGAAAGCCCCAACACAAACCGCCTAACTCTGGCCCTCATATCACGTACCATTTCCGGAGCATACTTGGCCAGAGAGACGAACTTGAGGTAGTACTCATTCACACTCATATCATTCTGTCTGAGTCTCTCAAACTCCAAAGCCTTAGCTTCCAAAACCTCAATGGGTAGAAAGTGCTCAAGGAACGCATCTGCAAACTCCTTCCAAGTCGCAGGATCCACATCCTCCCCTCGAGACTCTTCCCATGTTTCATACCAAGTGTTGGCAACATCCTTCAGCTGGTACGCAGCAAGCTCTGCTGCCTCAGTGTTTGTAGCATGCATCACTCGAAATATCTTCTGAAGCTCATCAATGAAGTTCTACGGATCCTCATCCTTTTTGGAGCCTGTGAAGACGGGAGGTTTCATGTTGAGGAATTCCCTAGACCTAGAACTACCCGTCTCATGAACACCACTGGTCCCCTGCCTTTGAGCCTGGGTAGAAACAATCTGGATGAGCAACTAAATAGCTCCCCTGACATCCATGTCTGAAGCACTGGGCACTGAACCCGGTGCAACCCCCCCTAGGCCGGAGTGTCCTCCTCCTGAGCAGCATTAGCTGTGGCCCCCTGGCTAGTAGCTGAGGCCCTCCTAGTGTACTTTCTTTTTGCAGGCATTTTTCTGAATTACGCAATTCACACGGGTTAGAAAGATTCCTGAAAGCATAGCTCTAACTGCACGATCTAGAGTATGAAAGAAATGGAACAATCCTAGATGTCTTGGTGGTCAACTGTTTACATGTGTGGCACGCACACACACATAAAAGAGACCCCACTGGACACGGCTTCATAGACTTCCCAGGACTCTTGAACCTAGGGCTCTGATACCAAGCTTTGTCACGCCCCAAACTATGGCCTGGGCGTAACACGACACTCGGTGCCTGACTGCATGCGATCGTGCGAACCAACTGTATGGCTGGATCAACATGTGGTATAATTATGAGCTAGAGGTAAATGTAAATCAGGATAGTCTGCTAAAAAGTCTGATTGAAATATCATAGATGCGGAAAAATACTGAAAGGTTTGCAAGTATAAACAAGTAATCGACAAGGCTAACACATGAAAGCCTGCTAATATCTGACTGACTGGGTTATACTCTACGAAGCCTCTAAAGAATACTGAAAACGCAAACTGTTTATCGGGACAAGGTCCTCGGTATACCTTATTAACTGAAATACTATAATGACTAAAAAAAAGAGAGATAAGGCCCCGAAAGACTGGGGCTCACCAATAGCTGATACGATATGTCCTAGCAAGCTGAATCGTCGACCTGTAAATCGTTACCTGCATCACGAGATACAGGCCCCGGGCAAAAAGGGCGTCAGTACATTTGAATTGTACTGGTATGTAAAATAGCTGAACAAAAGAACTGTAAATACTAAAACTGAAACTGAACCGCTAGCTGAAAAACTGATAACTGAACAAGGAAGTAAGGATGTGAATACTCCCTCTTCTGAATGATGAACAACCTGTTTAACTGAATATTAAACTGCGGCCTTAGGCCCTATATATATATATATATATATGTGCACAACTGCGCCTCGGGCCCAAGTATATGTATACATAACTGCGGCTTCAGGCCCAAAGATGCATAAAGCATAAACTGCGGCCTCAGGCCCAAATACAGGTGTTCAACATTCAAGAATATAAAATCAGGAACTGAGAATCATATTACAATACATGATACTGAAATAATGAGCCATACTGGGTACATGATACTGGAATAGTGAATAGGATTAGACTGAGATGAGTATTCATAACAAGTTGATTTGTCATAACAGAAACTCATAGAATATCGAATGATTATGAGACTATGCCATCTAGAGAATAGAAGTCCTACTGCTGATCAGGGAACTAAGGCATAGTTCCTTTCTGAGGAGACCGGTAATGATCATAATGAATGGGACGTAGGGAGAATCATAGACATTCCCAAACGTAAAGAGTTAGCCTTACATACCTTAACTTCCTGCTCTTGAGCGTAATACAACGTTTGTCAATCCTTTCAACTTCAATCTATAGCAATACAAGTCACAGGGATTCCATATTAGCTATAAATGCTCATGTTTTGGTCACTTAAGCATTTTGTCAAACACTTGGTAAGAATAAAGCTTCATAGTCCTTATTAATGGTGTCTCTACACCCAACAACCCATTCTCTTGTTCCTAGATAAATTCTAAGGTCTCAAATGATTACGCCAACATTATTCTTCATCACCCATAAGGCAAACAACACTCTTAAACAATAATAAACACTCAACACCCCAACCCTTTAATCGTTCATGCTTTTCTATCAACCCCAACAACTCATGTCTCATGAACTAGGATTTATAATCATTAAACCAATGCTAGAATCAATTAGAGGGTGAAGACATTACCTTTTCGAAGTTCAAACCCTTGATTTTCGAGTTCTAGGCTTCCTTCTCTCAACAATGATATCCCAATCGAATATCTAATAATATGGAGGGTTTACCCATGTTAATAAGATGTTGGAAAAGTGAAATCAACTTAGAATCACCATTCGAACTTACCTTGGGTGGTGGAAGGACCCTTAAGGAGTTAGGTTTTTGAGAGTTTCCCTTTCTAGAGCAAGTTTTTATGTTTTGGGGCTGTGGGGGACGAAATATAGCTTTAAAACGACCCCCCACGCGCGAGTTCGCGCACCTAGAGGCTTGTTCGCGCGAGAGTTCACGCTCAACGGCAGTAACACTGCCTCCCACGCGCGAGTTCGCGCACCTGGAGGTTTGTTCGCACGAGTGTTCGCGCATACGCGTACTGTTCCGAAAAACGCACATAATGTTTTGCACAAAGATCCGTTCAGGCTCCATAATATATAATTGGAAAGCTATTTCAAAGGCCTACAACTTTCATGCATTGCGTTTTCCTCAATTCCTTACACATCTCCAATAAAACTTGATGGAAGACAGACCTTCCGCAACTTAGTCGATTTTTGTCAAATCTTATGCACCTCTCTTTCCATTTTGATTTTTGAAACAACTATTTTACCCACAATCATCCCGTTGGGACTTCACATGTTCAAAATATAACCTTACCACTCATTTACCACATTCACACCTAAGCCGAATATACAGGGTGTTACAAAATAACAATAAAATTTCTATATATCTAAATCTTTAGAACAAATCCCCAATCAAAATCGTATCATGAAATACTCAAGAAAATTCTCAAAAGAATAATTTCTTGCAAAAATTACAATAATAAAGTCCACCATGTAAATAGAGGAGCAACTGATACATGGTCAAGTCAGAGTTATTGCAAAAGCTGTTATATTTGGTTTCTCAGCAATATATGGATTGCATACTGTTAAAGATAGATTGAAGCTATGGGACAAGATGAGGCAAATCCACAGCATTCAACAAGGACCTTGGCTAGGTATGGGAGACTATAATGCTGTAGTACATCCACAAGATAGACTATGTGGTACAGAGGTTCAAGATATGGAAACAAAAGATTTTAAGGAGTATATGAGGGATACAGGGATGAATGAGTTGCAGTATGTGGGGAGGAACTACACCTGGACTAATAATCATACCTATAGCAGAATTGATAGGGGACTTGTAAATGTAACTTGGATGATGACAATGCCAAATGTGAAAGTTCAGGTGCTAGAACCAATGGTATCTGATCACTCACCACTGAAGTTAGTAATCTGTCAGGCACAAGGAAAGAAGAACAAGCCATTCAAGTTCTTTAACTGTATTGCTGACCACCCTCAATTCATGCAACACATTGAAGAAGCTTGGAAGGACAGAAGCACAAATGGTAGAATGCAGACAGTATGGAACAATCTTAAAGGGGTAAAGGAGGCCATCAAGAATCTAAACACTCAGCATTACAAAGGGGTTGATGGAAAGATAAAAGAGATAAGGAGGGAGTTGCAGGGAATACAAGAGGAAATGAGCTCAAAACTGCAGAATAAGGAATTGATTGACAAAGAAAAAGAGCTGAAGGGTGAGTTAGAAAAATGGGGAAAGATAGAAGAAAGCATATACAAGCAAAAGTCAAGAGTGCAATGGTTGAAGTTGGGAGATTCTAATTCAGCCTACTTCTTTGCACAAATGAAGAATAGGAGTTACTTGAATGGAATTCAAAGCTTAACAAATGAGGTGGGAGCTCAGCTTATAATGGAGGATGATATAGATCAAGAGCTGAAAGCATACTAGCCATCAATCCAAATGTCATGAAGTTGGGAGCAACATTAAATAGAGGCCAACAGGTTCAATTAATAAAGCTAGTCTCCAAGGAGGAAGTGTGGGAAGCCATGAAGGATATTAGTGATCTTAAAGCACCTGGTTATGATGGGTTTAATGCTTTATTTTTCAAGAAGACTTGGCAGATTGTAGGTGAGGATATAACAATGGCAGTGATGGAATTCTTTGAAACAGCACATATGCATAAACCTATCAACTGTACAGCAATAACCTTAGTGCCTAAAGTCAGAAATCCTGTGAGTGTTAAAGAATATAGACCTATCTCATGCTGCACAGTTCTATACAAGGTGATCTCCAAGGTTATAACCAAGAGATTGCAGAAAGTTATGGATGATTTAGTTGACAACACACAGTCAGCTTTTGTGCCTGGAAGAGTGATAACTGATAACATAATTCTAAGCCATGAACTAGTGAAAGGCTATGGAAGGAGAGGAGTATCACCCAGATATATGATGAAACTAGATATGCAGAAAGCCTATGACTCAATTGATTGGCCATTCATGGAACAAGTTCTGAATGCACTGACTTTCCCAGACAAATTTGTGAAATGGATTATGACATGCATGGAGACTGTCACTTATACTGTGATGATAAATGGAAACCTGACAAAACCATTTGATGCCAAGAAGGGGTTAAGGCAAGAAGACCCTATGTCTCCATTTTTGTTTGTGCTGGCAATGGAGTACTTAACAAGAAGCCTCAAAACACCGAACCAGATCCCAGATTTCAACTACCATCCCAAGTGTGCAAAGATGAAAATCTTGCAGCTTGGATTTGCTGATGACCTTTTATTGTTTTGCAGGGGTGATATAGGTTCAATAAAGCTTTTGTTCCAATGCTTCATGGAGTTCTCAAATGCTTCTGGACTGGTGATCAATAAACACAAAAGTTCTATCTTCTTTGGTGGAGTATCACAAGCTGATCAGGAGGGAATCCTAGAGTTTCCAGGAATTCAAAAGGGTGAGCTACCAGTAAGGTATCTAGGTGCCCCATTAAGCTAAAAAAGAATATCCATAGCCCAGTGCCAACCTCTAATTGACAAGATAATGGGAAGAATAGAGTCATGGACTGCCAAATTTCTGTCTTATACTGGCAGAGTCCAACTGATAAAGAGTGTGCTGTTTTCTATACAGACATACTGGGCACAGATCTTTGTATTGCCTAAAAAGATCACAAAGTTAATTGAAGCAATGTGTAGAAGTTTTTTGTGGACAGGAGATGGAAGTATATCAAAAAAGGCTCTACTGGCATGGGAGAAAGTTTGCTTACCTAAATCTGCAGGGGGCTTCAACATTATGAATATAGCTATGTGGAACAAGTCTGCCATCTGCAAACAATTCTGGAATTTGTGCAAGGAGAAAAAGAAACTGTGGATACACAGCTATTACATCAAAGGAAGGCCTCATATGGGATGTTCAACTGAAACAAGCATCTTGGTTGGTAAATAATATCATAAAAGCAAAGGAGACATTCATGGAGGCAGGGCTCAGCTATGAAGATATCATGAATATGCAAAGCTGCTCAATTAAAAACATATATCACAGGCTGCGTGGAAGATTTGAGAAAGTTAGTTGGAGAAGGGTAGTCTGCCATAATACAGGATGCCCAAGATGGACATTTATACTAACTGTGGCAGCTCATGGGAAGCTATACACAAAGGATAGATTGCAGAAGTGGGGAATGCAGGTGGATCGGGAATGTGTCTTGTGCAAGCAAGCCAATGAAACTATACAACACTTGTTCTTTGAATGCACATATGCAAAAGCATTGTGGAGCACACTGTTAGCATGTCAAGGAATTAGAAGACCTGTAGCTGGTTGGGATAAAGAACTACGATGGGCTGAGAAGAAGACTAAAAGGAAAACAACTGCTGCAGAGTTGTACAAAATGACAGTAGCAACAACAATATACCATGTTTGGCAAGAAAGGAATACTAGAATTTTTCAAGCAAATGTGACAGGTTGGGAAGCAGTTAGTAAGAAGATCATTCAAGAGCTACATTGTCGAAGTACCAAACATACAGTGGGAATGCTACATAGACTAGATTGGTACCCAGTGTAATAGTTAGATACAAGTGTAAATAACAGTTCATGGGGAGGGGTGTGATGTATAGGAAAAAGGTATTTTGTAAGGGTTTGATTTTCTTGTAAATATTTTCCCTGGTAATACAAAAGATTTATTTACCAAAAAAAAATCCACCATGCAATTTCCCCAAATACGTAAATCGCCCCAAAAAAGTTCTAGCTAAACTCACATCAACATAATCTTTAGGTAATTTCCCAGATAAGAAAATTCTTAGGTAAATCCCCAAGAAATATCCCTAACTAAATCTACAGCAACAACATTCCCAGGTAATTCTACAGCTAAAAGAATTTCCAAGTAAATTTCCAAGAAAATATCCCCAGGTAAAATTCGCAGCAGCAATATCTCCAGCTAATTCCCCAAATAAGGAAATCCCAAAGAAAATATCCCCAACTAAATTCACATGTAGAGTTACTTAAGGATTTTCCTACAGATTAACATAGGATTTTTTCCATTTTCTTTGTCTTTTTACCTGAGAATTTTCATACGGAAATGTACATACCGATTAGTTTTCCCAGGTAATATTTTGGCGGATAATGGCGCCAAAGTTACCTACGGATTATCCTAGTAAATTATATTTTGCAGGTAAAATATTTTAAATTCAATATTCCCCATGAAAATCCGCATGTATTATCTGCCAATAAAATCCCCAGGTAATTAGTACTTTTCTTGTAGTAAAACGCGGTTCTGCGTCTCTGCTTCTGCGGACAAAACGCACTTCTACGCACACGCTTCTGCGGACAATGTCCGCTTCTGCTATCCTAGGCGTTCCTAGCCATATCCTTTTCTGCGATGCATTACCCGCATCGGCGAGTCCGCTTCTGCGGAATATGGACCGCACCAGTGGTCCCAACTGGTCATGACAATATTCGCTTCTGCGGCTCGAGGGTCGCTCCTGTAGCACCACACCTGATAAGTGGGGATTTTGACTACTTATTAGCGTTTTTTTACTTTCGTTTTAGTCCAAAAGTGTTTAACTTTATTCCCAAAAATTGATGAAATATGCTTAATTGTAGGAGTATTGCAAAATGAGCCACAAAGATGAAATCCATCTCAAGAAGGAGTGATCTGAACTCAAGGATAAAAATCAGGCAAAATGGCTCAAGTGCGTACCACAGAATGTGAAGGAAGTCCCAAGAGTAATGTGCGGACCGCACAATTATTGTGCGGCCGCAGAAGCTAGATCAGAGCTAAAGTTCAGAGAGTCACACTTCAAGCCTAATAGAAATGCAGACCGCACAATTATCGTGCGGCCGCAGAAGTCAGCCACGCGACCACACTAAGAATTGTGCGGTCCGCAGAAGGGCCCTGTGCGGCCGCACTCAGATTTGTGCGGACCGTAGAACATGAGACATGCGGCCGCATTCCAGAATTGTGCGGCCGCAGATCCAGCTCCTGTCAAGATTGAAGAATTGTGCAGACCTCACATGGAATTGTGCGGCCGCAGAACCTCTGAAAGGGCATTTTTGATCGAAATTTTCAGCTTTATATAAATAGACTTGTTTTACAAAATTAGGTCAAGATTTGAATATTGGAACTCCTGTAGCCGTTGTTCCTTACTACTTTAGGCAACTTTATCTTACTTTGGTGATTTAACAATGGATTTTTGTCTTTTAATTGAATATGAGTTTTATCATCTTTTCTTCCTTGTTTTCTTCTATACCCATTACAGTAGCTAGATTCTTAACTAGGGTTGTGACCCGATCCTAGTGTGTAAACCTAATGGGTATTTAATTTATGGCTTGTTTATGGTTGGTTGTTGATTATTTAGCCTTGTTCTTGCTTTTTATTGTAGAATTAATGGTTGCAAAAATTGGTTCATGCCTATTTGACTTTGTCTCTACTTGAGAAAGAGAGACTTAGTCTAGGAAAACTTGGCTAACAAGAATTTGGGATGAAATCAAGAGATAGATAGTCCCAATTAACGGGTTGAACCTAGAGATAGTAAAACCCGACTTGAGCATTTTATCAACTGTTTGGTTTAATACCCATTTGGACTTGAGAAAGCCAAAATTGGGCAAAACCACTCTCTTAACGAGAAGTATTGAGTGGGTAATTGGGTGTTGATAGCTATAATACACCCCGACCAACAAAACAAGCTTTAAAGTTTACAATGGCAAACACCTAGTGAATGTCATAGCCCCAGGCCTTTTATCATATGAAAACAACAACAAAAACACAATTTCTTAGTTTCAATTATTTGTATTGCAATCTTGGTTTAATTTAGAAGTAAAAACAAACTATATTTGTGGAAGTGCAATTTAGATACTTCATGTACTTAGTCCAAATATATACTACTTTATCCCATTCATATAGCTCCCTGTAGAATTCGACCCCGACTCTTAGTTGGGTCTTGCTATTGCATCGATCATTTTACAACCTTTAATAGAGGTGTGACTTGGATGAGATTAACTTTTGGCGCCATTGCCGGGAGCTAAAAACGGATTTAGATATATATATATATATATATATATATATATATATATATATATATATTTGGTTTTGTGTGTGAATTGTCTACTTTTCCTTCCGGGTTACTAATCTTTTTTATGAAACAATTGTAGGTGAAACAATGGCTCTCAACAACAATGATCCTCTTGGGAACATGCCTATGGGGATGTGGACGTGGAAGATGATCAAGTTGAAGAGGTTCCTCTTGAACCTCAAGCAAATAGATGAGGCCGACCGCTTCAAGACAACGTTCCCGTTCCACCCCACCTCCACCAAGAGCGGCTCCACACCGGGTGTTGCCGAATAAAGGGTATGCAAGTGCTATTGTCCCACCCCCCATTAGGGCGGGCAACTTTCAAATCACGAATGTAATGCTCACATTGCTAGAGCAACGAGGATTCTTCATCGGGGCTCCGAGACAAAATGCATACAAGCACTTGAAGGGGTTTGTAGACAGTTGCTAGGGGAGTAAACAGACAAACGTCTTCGAGGATATGTTAAGGTTGAGGCTATTTCCCTTCTCTCTATGGGGGAAAGCCTTGGATTGGTGAGAGAGATTGCCAAACCATTTCCATCCATACATATGATGAATCGTCGGAGAAATTTATTTCCAAGTTCTTTTCTCCTGGGCATATGGGTACTCTTAGAGACGAGATTCTAGCATTCAAACAAGAACCCAACGATCCTTTGCATGAGATATGTGAGAGGTACCGAACAATGGTCAAAGAGTGCCCCAATAATGCCATGATGGAGGCTATGATTCAACAAACGTTCTATAGGGGGATGAACACTACTAATCAATGTGTAGTCAACAAACTTGCCAGTGGAAATTTCATGACAACGCCATATGCGGAAGCTTGTGAGATCTTAGACGAAATGGCGGATACTTCATCGTCATGGCAAAGTAGAGCAAACATTCCTCAAGGTGATCCAAATGTGATTCACCTACATAAAGAATTGCATGATCATGGGCAAGCAATTGCCGAATTGACCACCACAATGAATCAATTAGCCAATGCTCAACTTCAACAATTGCAAGGTCCTAAGCAAGTCAATGGCATGGAGGGTGTTAATATGATGGTAAATAAGAGAAGACAAAAGGGTCCACAAGTGCAAAACCGTGTGGAGAATTATGTACAAGATGATAGTGAGTTTGACCAAGATGAATCTTACAATGAACAAGAGAAGGAAGTTAATATGTGAACAACTTCCAAGGGCAAAGAAACAACTCTCAAAGCCTGAATCAACAATAATGGCGGCTTCAAGGAAATTAAGGGAATTGTAATTCTAACAACCAAGGTAATTGGAATGGTGGTAATGACCAAGGGAATCGGAACAATAAAAACAATCAAGGAAATTGGAATGGTCAAAATAACCAAGGCAATTGGAGTGGCAATAGTCAAGGACATTGAGGAGGCAACAACCAAGGGGATGGAACAATAATCAAGGAAATCAAGGGTTGGGATTTCAAAGGCCCCTAATGTATCAACAACCAAGCAACCCGCCTCCTTATACTTCCCATGGTCCAAGCTCTTCCAACAATGAGATGGGACGAATTGAGAACATGTTCAAAAAAATATTGGAGAAGAATGCCGACTTTGATGCTCAACTAGCCTCTCACAACACTTCAATTCGCAATTTGGAAGTTCAATTAGGGCAAATCGGGAAGCTTTAAACACTCGTCCTAAGGGGACACTACCAAGTGACACGGTGGTGAACCCAAAGGGAGGGAACAACACGGGACATGCCATGGACGTTACTACAAGGAGTGGAAAATGTGGGGGTGCAACCACCTCAAATCAAAGAAAAATTATGGATGATGAGCAAGTGGTACAAGAAGATGAGATCCCGGACAATGAAGTGCAAGCAAATGATAAGGTAAGAATTGATATTGATGACAGTGTAGAGGAGACTTGTGAGGAAGTGAACCCGTCTAAGGAGCACATTGTTGACATACCGGAACTGGTAGTGCCAAAGGCTAAGGCACCAATACCTAGGCATCCTCCTCTATATCCTCAAAGGCTTGCCAAGTAAAATGGCGAGAACCAATTCAAAAAGTTCTTTGACATGATTAAGAGTCTATCTATCAACGTGCCATTCGTTGAGGTTTTAGAGAAAATGCCCGGTTATGCAAAGTTCATGAAGGACTTGGTGACAAAGAAGAGGCCGATGAATTGTGAAACTATAAAGATGACTCATCAAGTGAGTGAAATTGTGCATTCAATGGCCCCTAAATTGGAAGATCCCGACGCTTTCACAATCCCTTGTACCATTGGAAGTGCCGAATTTGCTAAAGCTCTTTGTGATCTTGGGGCAAGTATCAACTTGATGCCCTATTTGGTTTTCAAAACTTTGGGTAGGCAACCAAGATCCACATCTATGAGATTACAAATGGCGGATCGTACCATGAAGAGACGGTTGGGTATCATTGATAATGTGTTGGTTCGTGTTGACAAATTCATTCTCCTGACGGATTTTGTTATTCTTGATTGTGAGGTTGATTATGAGGTGCCGATCATTCTTGGGAG